GATGAAGTTCTACCGGGGAGAGAGAATCTACAGCCAAGAAAACTTAGCATACACATTACGGAATAAAGTGAAGGAACACGTGTTTGTGCGTATCTGTGCCTATTTATTTGTGTGTGTGTGTGTCTTTACATCAAAAACAGAAAAGGTACACTCTGCAAATCACAGGGGAGAGCAGCAAGTTTGAAGATTAGACATAAGCCATTGATGAGACTTTGACATCTTAAAATGGTGCACTTAATAAATTGCTTTTACTAAAAAAAAAAAAAAGTCCACTGTAATGAACTCACTGGAAGCAAGACAGGTTTTTTCAGTTTAAGCCAAGGGATTACATCCTTATGTTTGTTGAATATACATGGAAACACTTGTATCAAAGAAGTGCTCAATAAATATTACTATCTTTTTCCTCCCCCCCCCCCTTTTTTTAATCAAAAAGGGAAGATAAAAACAAAAGCAGGTAGGCAGGAGGAAAAAAATAGGGAAAGAGAGGAAAGAAAGAAGGAAGGAAGGAAGTTCAAGAAAGAAAGGAAGAAAAACTTCCCTGAAGATTCTATCTGCTGAGACATGGAAGAAATTTGTGTGTTTAAATAGTGACGATATTTGTGGACATTTCAGGCAGTTTCCTACAGTGCATCCTGTGAGTAAACACCATAGTATAGGGTGCTCTTTAAAAATTAGACTTACAGCCAGCTCGCTATATAACACCAACGGCGCTTCTTAAAGAGACATGACCACCAGCCATCAGACCGTTCCTCCTGTGCTTCTGTCTTATCTCTGAGTGTTTCTCTTACAGAAGGAAGAAAAAGATTTTTTTTTTCTTAGCAGCAGTTGTGAACTGCACCTTTAAAATCTAAACTTTGAAATCTGGCTATGATCATTTTGTTGACCTTAGCTGGACTGTATTATTCTCTTGAAGTCAAAAGGCGTGAATAGATCTCTCTGTGTGCTTAGCCCTGCTCCAAGCCAGGCCAGCCTAGGTTTTCTTTTGGCATATTCACCAGTATGACAGACAAGTAGGTTTTGATTTACAGATATACATCAGTAGATGTGATTTCCTTTCCAGGAAAAGGGCACGACGGCTAATACGCTTTAATTTATACACACGGGGCTTTTTTAAAAGGCTGACCTGCAGTTGGGGCTTGGTTAAAGTGGGTCCTTCAGCAAGAAGCATTGCTTCCAAATGCTCCCTGGTAGACTGTCAGTCTGGAAAGACATGGAGGCAAGGAGGTGGGAGGGGAAGACTGACAGAGGAAGAATTTGGTGGGCAGGAACCTAAACAGCTCACTGTAAAGGTTTCCTAAATTTCACAAGCATCCAAATTTTCTTTCTCTGAATCTGGTTTCCTTTTAGTTATTTCCTGTTTGTCAGGCACAGGTGGTCCTTTCACCAGGAAATACCGACAGCTATATTTTTTCTGACGTGTAGTTTTTTGTTGGTGAAGATTTCTATTAAAATGAGGTTGACTTGGTCCTGTCAGCTTGGTGTCAATTTTCTAGTTGTATACATGGTTCTTTCAAGTGTCATAAGTGAAAGCTCTGATTTAACCATCCCCAAAGCTCAACAACATTTCCAGGGGCCCCAGAACAATGAGTTTTTTGGAGAAGTGAAGCCGGGAGGAAAATAGGTAGGGTCCTTTCGAGCATCAGGACTCTCCTGCGCTAGGTGGCCACTCGGCCGGTTTGAGCACAGTGCTGGGAAGGTCCAGGGAGGCTGTCTCCAAATTGGCTAGACCAGCTGCACAGACAACAGTTTTTGCAACACACAGCTTGAACCCCTAAGCCTGGGGAAATGTCTGCCTTTTTTAGTGGGGACCTAAAAGAAAAGTGTCTCAGCATTTCTAGCCCCATTCTGCACATTTGTCCTTGCTTTGTTCCCTGACAACCGGAGAGACAAAGGCTCCTGTGTCCTTTGGGTGGCTGGCCCGCCCTCTGCGGAGCGCTCTGCTCCCTCTGCTATTCAAACTCCGGTAGGACTCTTCCTGTGACGGGAAGGTGATAAAAGAAACACACTTCAGATGGTAAAAACAAGTGTCCGGAAGGATCTTGTCATTAGGCTGAGACAAATGAAAAAGCCAGGCCTCTGGTTTCTCCACCTGGACCTGGAGCAGCCAAGGAGGAAACGTCGCTGAGCTCCAAGCAGCCATCAGCAGGGTGGGCACAGGGGCGGCCCCTCCGCATGCACATGATGGGGCCGGGGCACCTCCCAGCGGCGGCTCTGTCCACAGTTTGGACAGCCCTTCCTTCCTTTCATCTCATGTCAGTTTTTTCCCCTCCCTCCTTTTTTATACTCTCACTGACCCCCTTTCCTTTCTTTACCTGTCAGTGTTCACCTCTGTTCAAATCTCTTGACTCCAGTCATCTTCCATCCACTTGGCAGATCCCTCCTATGGCGTGACCCCTTCTCTATGGCATATAATATTAGTGTGTGTGTGTGTGTGTGTGAGAGAGAGAGAGAGAGAGAGAGAGAGAGTTGCTCAGTCGTGTCCTTCTCTTTGCAACCCCATGAACTGTAGCCCACCAGGCTCCTCTGTCCATGGAATTCACCAGGCAAGAATACAGGAGTAGGTAGCCATTTTCTTCTCCAGGGCATCTTCCTGACCCAGGGATTGAACCTGGGTCTCCTGCACTGCAGGTAGATTCTTTAGTATCTGAGCCACCATAATACTAGTAATGGCTATCAGTTTATTGAGGGTTTATCATGTGCTTTTTATCTTGCTGTAGTTGTTCCAGCCGCCTCTGAGGTGCTGTGTTCATCAGGATAGGCTGGTGGTTGCAATAAGCAGTGCCAGCACTGTGGTGAGACTGTTTTTGCTTTAATACAGAGTCTGGAGCATGTGTTCTCACTGGCAGCACCTTCCAAGGCTCACCTTTAAGCCTCAAGCACTGGCTTCTACACCCTTTTCATGATGTACCTCGCCCATCCTGGAGTTTTAGAGTAGAAGGCACAGAGGATGTGGAGGGTCACAAGAATGTTTCAGGGAGGCCACTGAGTGGTATCCGATTACTTCCCCCACCCCTTATCATCCACAAGTCTGATATATAGTCCCTCCTAACTTCAGGGCAACCAAGAAATGCAGGATGAAGATGAAACTGCATGATGGATGCATCACGGTCTCTTCACAATTGGGTGCTGTCAACCCCTCCACATAAGGAAGATGGGGCCTAAAGATTCAGAGTCAACAGCTAATAACAGGGAACCCCAATTCCAACCTTGCAAATCTGACTCCAGAATTACACTCTTCATCTTGTGTACTGCCTTCTGTGATTCTTTTCTGATAAAAAGCGAGTCCCTCTTTCATGCTAACACTACCTTTTACAAATCTTTACTTTCCTACTTATCACAAGGCTGCATCTACTGTACCAGACTGTGAGTGCCCCAAGGAAAAGGAAAGCTCTTTCAGCAGATGATGCACTATGCCTGGGGAACAGTGGGGCTCAATAAAAGCTTCATAAATGAAGAATAGCTGTGGTTTGTGTGTGGAGTCTTAGAAGGGCCCCTAGGGGACTGGATTACTGCACTCTGCAACTTTTCTAGATGACTGTCAAGGAGTCTGGATCAATGCAACAACTGCCCCCACGTAGCTATTTTGAACACAGCCATAAGACGGATCCTTTAAAAACATAAGTCATAGGTATCTTCCTTCTCCTAAAATGTCTCCATGACAAAACTGTATCCAGATTTTTGTTTCTTAATACCATACTCTAACAAAAGAAACTAGGACTACCCAGAGAAATGACTGATTTCAGGGTTGAGACAGGAAAAATACAAGATGAGCCTGGAGCTTCTTAGAGTAAGTGTCAGGAGATGAGGATGTGCTAAACACAAAACAAAGTAAAAAACAGGGCATGTCAAATGGACATAGAAGCCGATGTGAAAGAAGTCCCAATGTCCAAAGCCAGAACTATGGGAGGAACAAAATAAATAATGTTAGTAATGGATTATAATCCAAAGAATAAAATGATTGTCCATGAGTCTATACTCAGAAATAAATGAATAACCAAATAATGGAAAAGGCACAGAAGGATTCTTTATAGAAGAATTCCAAATATTAAACACAGAAGGAATTAAGGAAAGAGGAAATCACCATTAAAACATCACCTGTTACAGTCAAGATTTACTGATGGATGCTATTATTAGTAGGCAAAACTTTGAGAGAAGCAGGATATTTTCATTCTTTGAAGTACCTCCTCCAAAATATTAATTGCAGGCATACCAGGAAGTTGTCTGGGTTTGGTCCCAGACTGCTGGAAAATAAAGTGAGTATTACAAAAAATCAAGGCACACAAATTTTTTGGTTAACCCATACATACAAAACTTAGTTTAGGACTTCCCTGGTGGCGCAGTGGATAAGAATCTACCTGCCAATGGGTCATGGGTTGAATCCCTTGTCTTAGAAGACCCCACGTGCCATGGACAACTAAGCCTATGCATCACAACTACTGAGCCCACACTCTCGAGGCTGAGACCTGCAGCTACCAAGCCAGTGTGTTTCAACTACTGAAGCCTGGGGCACTGCAACAAAGAGTAGCCCCTGCTTGCTGCAACTAGAGAAAGCCTGTGCAAAAGCAATTAAGACCCGGCACAGTCAAAAAGTAAAATAAATAACCATATAAGAAATAAAAATTAGTTTACATTATGCTGTAGTCTATTAAGTGTGTGTTAACACTATGTCTAAAAAATGTATATACCTTAATTTTAAATGCTTTATTGCTAAAAAAAAAAAATGGTAACCATCATCTGAGCCTTCAGCTCATCATAATCTTTTCTGCTGGTGGAGGCTCTTGCCCCAGTTTTATGGCTTCTGACTGATCAGGGCGGTGGTTGCTGAAGGCTGGGGAGGGGGTACCTGCAGCAGTTTCTTTTTTTTTTTCCAACAATAATTATGATATTTATTTAAAGTAATACATTTACAGCCCAGATAGTTCTACATTGTACATTTCAGGTTTAACTAGCTTCATAAAAATACTTGAGAACAGCTGTACCCACAGATTTAGACTACTAAATTACTTCTTTGCCCATTCTTCTCTCTCTTTTCTTTCCCAAATAACCTCTTTCAGATACGGTTCAAGGTAGAATTTATCCTCCTCATATTTTGTCCACTGCTCTTTAGGCAGGATCTGCTGCCTCATGCTGAGGTCCAGTGCTCTCTTAATGCGAAACACTCTGTCGTTATAAAGGTTCTCAGGAAGCCTTCTTATGGCTTCTTTTGCATCGTCATTCTCATGTATTTTGTCATCTCGCATTAAGCCCAGTTTATTGAACCCGGCGGCAGCGTTGTAATACCATTTTCGAATACCCTCCAGCCACCTGCTTGATGCTGAAACAGCTGGCCGGCCCGCCGTGTTGACCTGACCAAGCAGTTTCTTAAAACAGGACAATTTCTTGCTATATTGATGGTCTCTTCCTTTCACTTGAACACTTAGAGGCCATAGTATGGTTATTAACTGGCCTAATTTCAATATTTTTGTGTCTCAGGGAATAGGAAGGACCATGGAGAGGAAGAGAGATGGAGTATGGCTAGTTAAGGGAGCAGTCAGAAGACAGTTACTATCAATTAACTTTGCTGTTTTCTATGGGTGTGGTTTCTGGGGCCCCAAAACAATTACAGTAGTAACATCAAAGGTCACTAATCATAGATCACCGTAATGTAGTAATAATAAACATGATTGATATATTGTCAAAGCTACCAAAATGCGACAGAGATACAAGTGAGCAGATGTTGTTGGAAAAATGGCACCCACAGATTTTGCCCAATTCAGGATTGCACAAATCTTTGATTTGTAAAAAAACACAGTATCTGTGAAGCACAATAAAATGAGGGTGCCTGCAATTACTGTGGTGGTTTTAACATACTTCCCACAAATTCTTTGTTACTGTTCATTCCAGGATGTGTAATTGTGGACTGGACTTTTGACTTATTTCTAATGAACGTATGGAAAGGGGAAAATAGTAACTTTGCAGCACAGAAATGTGGCAGATATCACCTTCATCAAGTGATCAAAATTAACAATAACATGGTAAACCGTGGTAACATTATGTTCCTCACGATATGTGATGAGAAAGACACTTCATTTCTGTTGGCTTCTTCCTTCAAACCCATAACCCTAGTCTTTAGAAAACATCAGACAAACCAAAATTAAGGGACACTTTACAAATATCTGACCAGTACTCTTCAGAAGGGTCAAAGTTGTAAAAAAACAAGGAGGAGAAGCTGTCACAGTCTGGAGGAGAGCTCAGCATGGTGTCCTGGACTGGATCCTGAGACAGGAAAGGGACGTTAATAGAAAAAGAGGTTAAGTCTGAAATGTAGTTCATAGTTTTAGACTAATGTTGAGTACTTAGTTTTGCTAAATATGCCATGGTTATAGAAGGTGTTTACATGAAGGCAGACTGAGTGAAAAGGATTTGAGAACTTTCTGGATTTATCATGGAAATTCTTCTAGAAACTGAAAAAATGATAGGAACCACTGAAGAGAAAAAGCCTCCCCGTTCACACTGAGTCAAATCTGAAGTCCTGTCAGGAGCCTACAGAGTCAGACATGATGCTCATGATCCCCTCTCTGTCTTGCCTCCTCTCATTCCCTCCCCACCTCAGGCAGCTTCAGCGACAGGGGGACTTTCCCTCTGATTCTTCACACACCTCCAGCCTGCTCCCACCTTGGGGCCTTGACACTCATTGTTCACGTTGGTGGGAAATCTTCCCCCCAGATATTTTCATGCCTAGCTCCCGTATCTCTTGGAGATCTTTATTCAGATGTCTCCTAATCAAGAGACTTTCTCTGACCCACCTGTCTAAGGACACACACGTCTGGCATAACCCACCCCCTCCCTTGCTTTACTTTTCTTTGCTGCTCTCAGCATCATCTCTCATTCAATAGACTTCATCTGATTTTCCTCATTCTTCCTTGTGGCAGGCAGAACGATGCCCCCCCGAAGATGTTCGTGTTCTAATCCCTGGAACCTATGGCTATATTGTGCTTAGTCACTCAGTTGTGTCCAACTCTTTGCAACCCCATGGACTGTAGCCCACCAGGCTCCTCTGTCCATGAGATTTCCCAGGTAAGAATACTGGAGTGGGTAGCTGTTCGTTTCTTCAGGGAATCTTCCCAACCCAGGGACTGAACTTGGGTCTCCTGCTTTGCAGGCAGATTCTTTATGGGTTGAGCCATCAGTGTTGCGATATGTCAAAGGGGAAAATTAAGACTGCAGATGGAACTAAGGTTGTTAATCATCTGACCTTGAAATGGGAAGGTTCTCTTGGATTATCTAGATGGCCCAATATAATCACAAGGGTCTTTAAATGTGGAAGGGGGAGACAGAAAATAAATTGGAGGGATTCACCATGCTGCTGCTGCTGCTAAATTGCTTCAGTCCTGTCCGACTCCTTGCAACCCCATAGACAGCAGCCCACTAGGCTCCCCCATCCCTGGAATGCTCCAGGTAAGAACACTGGAGTGGGTTGCCATTTCTTTCTCCAATGCATGCAAGTAAAAAGTGAAAGTGAAGTTGCCCAGTTGTGTCCAACTCTTAGCGACTCCATGGACTGCAGCCTACCAGGCTCCTCCGTCCATTGGATTTTCCAGGCAAGAATGACTCAATTCTCTACTGGTGGTTTTAGACAATTAAGGCACCTGTGAGCCACTCTGTGGGCAGGCTCTTGCTGCTGAAAAAGATGGACAACTCTTTTCTAGAGCCTTTGGAAAACTGTAGCCCTGCTGACATTTTGTTTTTAGCCCATTTTGACCCTTGTCAGACTTCGGCTTTAAAGAACTATAAGAGGAGTACTATGAAACTCCTAGAGGAAAATAGAGCTAAGACACTCTTTGCCATAAATCACAACAATATCTTTTTGGCTCTGTCTCTTACAGTAATGAAAATAAAAACAAAAATAAACACATGGGACCTAATTAAACTTAAAAGCTTTTGCACAGGAAAGGAAACCATAAACAAAATTCAAAGACAGCCTATGGAATGAGAGAAAAGTGGAGAGCTACATAAAGACAAACAAAAAATTAGAACATCCTATAACAACATACAAAAAAATAAACTCAAAATGGATTAAAGACCTAAATGGAAGGTCAGACACTGTAAAACTCAGAGGGAAACATATGCAGAACACTGACATAAATTGTAGCAATTTTTTTTTGGATTCACCTCTTAGAATAATGAAAATTTAAAAAAAATGATGAAACCCAATTAAAAATTTTGCATAGCAAAGGAAACCATATACAAAGCCAAAAGACAACCCACATAATGGGAGAAAATGTTTTCAAATGAAGATACTGACAAGGACTTAATTTCCAAATATATAAACAGCCCATGAAGCTCAATATCAGAAAAACAAACAACCCAATCAAAAAAGGCAGAAGATGTAAAGAGATGTTTCTCCACAGAAGACACCAGATGGCCAAGAGGCATATGAAAAGATGCTCAAAATCACTAATTATCAGAGAAATGCAAATCAAACCTACCACGAGTTATCACCTCACAACAGTCAGAATGGTCATCATCAAAAAGTCTACAAATAATAAATGTTGAAGAGAGCATTGAGGAAAGGGAACTGTGATACACTGTTGGTGGAAATGCCAGTTGATAGAGCCACTATAGAGAACAGCATGGTGGTCCCTTAAAAAACTAAAAATGGAGCCAGCATTTGATCCTGTAATCCCACTCCTGGGCATACATCCAGAGGAAATCATAATTCGAAAAAATCTATGCACCCCAATACTCATTGCAGCACTATTTTGTAATAGCTAAAACCACTAGACCATTAAGGTATGACCTAAATCAAATCCTTTATGATTATACAGTGGATATGACAAATAGATTCAAGGGATTATCTCTGATAGAGTACTTGAAGAAGTATGGACAGAGGTTCGTGACATTGTACAGGAGGTAGGGTTCAAGACCATTCCCAAGAAAAAGAAATGCAAAAAGGCAAAATGATTGTCTGAGGAGGGCTTACAAATAGCTATGAAGAGAAGTGAAAGCCAAAGGAGAAAAGGAAAGATATATCCATTTGAATGCAGAGTTCCAAAGAATAGCAAGGAGAGAAGCAGAAGATATTAAGAAGTGGCAAGAATACACAGAAGAACTATACAAAAAGATCTTCATGACCCAGGTAACCACAATGGTGTGATCATTCACCTAGAGCCAGACATTCTGGAATGAGAAGTCAAGTGGGCCTTAGGAAGTATCACTATGAACAAAGCTAGTGGAGGTGATGGAATTCCAGTTGAGCTATTTTAAATCCTAAAAGATGACGCTTTGAAAGTGCTGCACGCAATACACCAGCAAATTTGGAAAACTCAGCAGTGGCCATGGGACTGGAAAAGGTCAGTTTTCATTCCAATCCCAAAGAAAGGCAATGCCAAAGAATGCTCAAATTACTGCACAATTTTGCTCATTTCACATGCTAGCAAAGTAATGCTCAAAAATCTCCAAGCCAGGCTTCCACGGTATGTGAACCATGAACTTCCAGATATTCAAGCTAGATTTAGAAAGACAGAGGAACCAGAGGTCAAATTGCCAACATCCACTGGGTCATTGAAAAAGCAAGAGAGTTCCAGAAAAACACCTACTTCTTCTTTATTGACTATGCCAAAGCCTTTGACTGTGTGGATCACAACAAAGTGTGGAAAATTCTTAAAGAGATGGGAATACCAGACTACCTGACCTGCCTCCTGAGAAATCTGTATGCAGGTCAAGAAGCAACAGTTAGAACTGTACACGGAACAACAGATTGGTTCCAAATCGGGAAAGGAGTACGTCAAGGCTGTATATTGTCACCCTGCTTATTTAACTTATATGCAGAGTACATCATGCGAAATGCCAGGCTGGATGAAGCACAAGATAGAATCAAAATTTCTGGGAGAAATATCAATAACCTCAGATATGCAGATGACACCACTCTTATGGCAGAGAGTGAAGAGGAACTAAAAAGCCTCTTGATGAAAGTGAAAGAGGAGAGTGAAAAAGTTGGCTTCAAGCACAACATTCAGAAAACTAAGATCATGGCATCTGGTCCCATCACCTCATGGGAAATAGATGGGGACAGTGGAAACAGTGTCAGACTTCATTTTTTTGGGCTCCAAAATCACTGCGGATGGTGACTACAGCCATGAAATTAAAAGACGCTTGCTCCTTGGAAGGAAAGGACCAACCTATATAGCATATTAAAAAGCAGAGACATTACTTTGCCAACAAAGGTCCGTCTGGTCAAGGCTATGGTTTTCCAGTGGTC